GTCACCACCAACTCATAATTAGATATGCCCTCGCGGTCCAGGGCGCTGTCCAGTACCAAAGAATAGTAATTCTTGAAGGTGGACACCAGCTTGAAGGGGACTTGAGACATCAGAGTGCAGGTCACCCGTCCATTGACGCCAGCGTCGCGGTCGGACACGCTGATCAGGGCAATAACGGTGCCCAGTGGCGCGTCCTCTCTGATTGGAAGTGATAAAGACTTGAATTCCAAATCTGGGACATTATCGTTTTTGTCTTCTACTTCCACAATAACTCTACAATGGCCAGACAGTGGGAGCTGTCCCTTATCAATGCCCTCTACAAGAATTTCAAAGGACTTGCTTTCTTCAAAATCGATATATCCCTTTACCATAATTTGTCCAGTAATTGGATCTATGTGGAACTTTGATTTCACATTCGGTGAAATATCACTTGAGAATAAATAAATAATGTCCCCATTCAATCCTTCGTCTAAATCTGAGGCGTTAAGTTTAATTACCGACGTTCCATTAGGAACATTCTCTGCTAATTTCACCATATAGAGTGTTCTGTCGAAAACTGGAGCATTGTCATTGGCATCCAGTACCGTGATGAGTAACTGAACAGTGCCAGTCAGCTCAGGTTTGCCACCATCGGTGGCCATGAGCACTAGAAAAATCTCCGGAGTTTCTTCTCTGTCTAAAGATTTCCTTAAGACAAGCCCAAGACCTTTTACTCGCTCATCATTGGATGGTTTTTCCAGTGAAAAATACTCATTCGGGCTCAGTCTGTAAGTCAGCAGAGCGTTGGCCCCAATATCTGCATCGGAGGCGCCCTCTAATGGAAACCGAGTGTCAAGCTGCCTGGATTCCGCGATAAACAGATTCTTCTGTGTCGCAGGGAACACAGGCGGGTTGTCATTAATGTCCTTCACCTCCACCTCCACATGGAAAACCTGCAGCGGCCTGTCCACGATCACCTCCAGGTGGATGCTGCACTCCGCGCTCCGCCCGCACAGCTCCTCCCGGTCGATCCGAGAATTCACAAACAAAACGCCATTCTGCAGATTTACCTCCAGAAGGTCCTCTCTGCCTTTGGACGCCACCCGGAACCGGCGCGGCACCAGCTCCGCCAGCTCCAGCCCCAGGTCCTGCGCGATGCGGCCCACGAAGGTGCCGTGTTTGGCCTCCTCGGGGACCGAGTAGTGGATCTGGCCGCTCCCTGCCTCCCAGGCTGCGAGGAGCAGAAACGAGAGCAGCAGGCGCTGAGATTCCTGACCGGTTCCGTAGGAAAACTCCATTTCAACTGCACAATGCTTTTTGTTCATTAGGGATCTTGTCTCAAAGTCAAGAGAAATTTTCTTATTGGTCAGTTCAGTGCCGCTGCATCCTCCATTTTCAAATTCCGGATAGTGGATACAGCTTCTTTGCAGTAAGATTACAAAGGATTTTTTCCTCTTTATTTCGTCTGTGTAATCTATTCTATGGTAAAGAGCGACATCATGTGGCTCCAAACCGTAAGTATCGATGCTGGAAATCCATAGTCTACTGTAAACTGCTAGGTCTTACTCTTTCAGCTTCTTCGCATACTTTTCCCGTTTTGGAGAATAGGATTACGTTTTGTACTACGGAGGTATACATTTTGTAGCACTGATTGATTGTGAGCCTTAGTTTCACCACAGGGTAAACTTTACTTCAGTGGATATCCTCTTTTCAAACAGGTTTTAAGTATTTAAATGTTTACAAAGTGTATATTCACCCAAAATAGTTCATACAATTGAAGTGTTGATTAGGAAAAGCCATGATATGTTACTTGTGTTCCCCAGATTACCAGAGGTTGTTATTAATGATGGTACACTCCTCATCCTTGGGTTTGTATTTCTGGTGTTGAAGACTTGAGAGAAAATGTCTCTAGGGAACCTCTGATCCCAAGGACAAGCCATTGAAAGGGAAATTTGCAAATGTTTTTAAAAGGAATAAAAACCCATCAGCATTTAATTTAATGTCTGTTTTTAGTCATCTAAGAGATGAAAGTGCAAGGAAAGTTTAACAAGAAAATAGAAATCTATAGTAAATAGCTTGCATGAAAAAGTATTCCAAATAATTTTATTCAGTGAAACTCACTAACCTCCCATGAACAAGGTTGGCATTCTTATTTTGACTCATGGTTACCTGCCTGTTCTCCAGTGTCTATGCTTAAGCCTCTATCTTCTCCCCATAGTTCTCATATATTTAATCAAACTGGGTAATTTCTTGCTTCCAAGTACATTTTTTACTAAACAAGCATACTCATTTTGTCCCCTGACTAAGTAAAACACATCATTTCCAAACTCTTCACAAACCAATCTCCATATTTTATAACCATTTAAAACTTCCCTAACCCATGAAGAATTTCATGATCAAACCAATCAGACAAGCATCTTTACCTTCTTATATTATATTAGTTTCTCTATAGATTTTTAAAGGAAATAGATGTATTTTATTTTATTTTTCTAGCAGCTGGCTGGTATGGGAATCCAAATCCTTAACCTTGGGGTTACAAGACTGTGCTCTAACTAACTGAGACACCAGCCAACACTGAAATAGTTGTGTTTTAATAGTTTAAAAGCTCAGAGGTGGATGTATTTGGCTAAGATTTGCTGAACATCTACCCAATAGGAATGGTTTGATATTCTTCAATTTCCAAATAAAATACATTAATTTAAGGTTATCATATAGCTAGTCAGGAAGATATGATATCTCAGCAGCCTCTGTAATATTCTAGAGATACAAAAAGATTTTCCTTAGACATTTCCCTAATTAAGAGATCTTTTAATTTCCATAGTAAAACCCGGATTTTAACTTAACTTTCATTCTAAGTCTTGTTAGTCACAATCTTTTAATAATCTTGGGTTTTAGTGTGGGCAATGAAAATTTCCCAATAAATAGAGCACAATACATTTTCCTACATAAAGTAAATTAATATAGAAGAAAATAATGGTGGCCATTTTCAAACTTTCTTTGCCTCTTATGTTTATAAACTCCCCACTCCCATATTTGCCTAGACCCAAAATTTTTAAAAATCACCAATCTAGTGAAAATAGCTTTAGGTTCCCTCAATAAAGATTCACACTGATAAAAATCACAACAAAAATCAGAGTGCTTTTACCATTTGGGGACCCAAATTATAGATTTTTACGAAGTGACCATAGATGTCAAGAACACTGGACAAAAGTTAAAAGAATTCCCTTTCCATTCATTTTACTTAACAAAATATTTAAATGCTTAATTGAGGGATGCAACAGAATAGAAATGGATACTTATTTGGGAACTATTCAGTGTTCGCTTGGTATAGCATCAATACATCTAAAGAGAAAATAATTTAAAATCCTCATAAGACTTTAAAATGTCTCAGCCAAGAGTCTTGTCAGTCAAGAATTTCAAGAGGAGAACTGGATTTGAAAGCTGAAGTCCCATATCGGAGGGACAAGAATTCTGGATGGTCCTATTGTTTACAATAGATGATAACAGGACTAATAATATAAATATTGAACTGAGGTTGGACATACTCTAACTAATGCTTGATGGACAAAGGGACAGCAAAGGATAGTGCTGGAAAAGAAAATGAAAGGGAAAAAGGAAAGAAGAGTATCTTACATGTTAGACTCTGCACAATGTCATTGAGTATTAATCAGATTTCAGCTAGTTTCTAATTTTCTCCACTAGCAAGAAAACTGGAGTGTGAGTCCAACTATTTGCTGGGGGAAATGACCAAAATACATGGGGGAATGGCTGGAAAATGGTCTCACTGCAGTTTTATTTGGTGCCAGTTATATGGAATTTTCTATTTGCTGCAGCTAGTTTCTAATTTTCTCCACTAGCAAGAAAACTGGAGTGTGAGTCCAACTATTTGCTGCGGGAAATGACCAAAATACATGGGGGAATGGCTGGAAAATGGTCTCACTGCAGTTTTATTTGGTGCCAGTTATATGGAATTTTCTATTTGCTCTTTTCTGACATTAGCATCCTTAGTATTGTATGCAAAAGAGGTTAAATAATAAGGTTTTTTAGTAGAAATAGTAGTTTTAAATTAGATATACAGTATTATTTTCAACAAATAATTCAGGTTGAAAATAATTCTTAGGATTAAAAATATTATTTTTAAAAGAATAATTGTTTACCACCTGGGTACTAATTTTTCACTTTATCCCGATTTTTTAATCATTACTAATAAAAGTAGTGAGAAACTGAAGATGAACAAAGATACAATTCTAGAAACAAAACAATTGTTATTCTACTTCCCCCCCCCCAATTTGGAAATCTAGCAACAATAAACAGTATTGCCAAGTGAGAGCACAAGGCCTAAAACGAACCATATTTACATAGAGAGGAGGGACTAAGCCTCCAAACAAATGAAAACGAGAATAAAAGAGGCTCCGTGAAAGACAACAGGTGTAACTAACTAATATTTGAAACTGAAGGTGTAAAAGCATAACAAAAATGAAGATGTAAGCATTTGGGATGAACCCATAAAATAGGCCAGTGACATTTGCATTAACATTTAGAAGTCCAAATGAAAAGTGGTGAAAGATATTGAAACACTATGCAGGGATTACACCATGAAGAGTGGACACCACATGTTGAAGTCGAATTCTCTAAATAATGCAATATATCCAAGAAAAAATATTTCGTTTTGTACCCAGACTTATAGTAATAAAATAATCCTACGACTGTACCTAACAACAACAACAACAACAACAACAACAAGTGTAGATCTCACTAATTATTACTGATTCGGTTCAAAAATTAGTCACAAAGATCCTAACATTTTAACCAAAAAAACAGTAAGTGAAAAATTCTAATTGTGAAACACATAGTGTGGCGTAAATAACCAACATCTTTCCAAGAGTGGAAACATTGGAAATAAAAAACAAGAACATTTTGAAAAGGATTTTATAAAAAAATTACTCACTTTGGCAGAGATATGAACGTCCACATCTAGTTGCTCCTCTCCGTCCTGGTTAACTGGACGAGGAACACAAGGGCTAAAAGCCATGAGGTCGGCCTTGGGCGGTCCCTCCCCAGAGCACACTCTCTGCCGCCTCTGCTGCGAGTACGACCAGCTCCCCACCGCGCTGGAGCACACCAGCGTGGCCTTCCCAGGTCCGCACGCGACCTCGGTGGGGGGCGCCGAGCACCGAAATGCCGTGTACAGCAGCAGCGTCAGCACCAACAGGCTGGACACGGCGCAGATGGCGATGATCAGATACACGTTGA